TTTGTTGCTTCTGAGAAAAAAACATCATGTCATCTGCAAAGAATAGGTGTGAAGTTTCCGGTCTATTGCGAGCTAAACGAGCTGATTTCCAGGAATGTTCCATAATGCTTTATTGAATCGCTTGTGCTAAAAGCTCCATTCATGATGCGAATAATTATAGGGATAAGGGGTCTCCTTGACGAATGCCCTGTGTAGGTATAAATGGTTCCGCAGCTGAGCCATTCCACAGTATTTGTGTTGACACAATCGAGATGCACCTCGTGATTAATTCCCGGAAATTCTTTGGCAGACCCATATCCTAGAGTGTATCGTTAATGAAAGACCACTCTAACCGATCGTAGGCTTTTTTTAGATCGATTTTGATCGCCATGAGTCCTTTTTTCGCCTTCATCGAATGCATTACTTCACGTTCTATGATTATATTTTCCGTTATCGATCTACCCGGTACAAAGCTTGTTTGGTTATGGGATACCCATACAGGGAGAAGAGGTTTCAGGCGGTTAACTATAAGCTTCGTTATTACTTTGTAAAATACTGAGCAAAGACTGATTGGTCTGAATTGGGTAATTATTTCTGGACTTCGGACCTTGGGCATGAGAACGATAAGGGTCCGGTTAAGGGATTCCTCAAAATCTTTACCAGCAAAAATTTCCTTCACAAAGTTGCAGACATTTTTTCCTACCGTCGATCAATTTTGCTGATAAAATATAGTGTGTGAACCATCTGCTCCGGGCGCCTTCAGTGGACTCATCCCAAACACTGCTTGTTTTACTTCTGGATCCGGTACTGGTCTATTTAATTCCTTCATTGTGGCTGCTGGAATAGAGGGAAAGTTGCCTCGAATGCCTATAATTGGAAGAGATCTTTATAAAAGTCAACTGCCACTGCTTTTATTTGCTCTTGGGTTGAGCACCCATTGCGGTCACATAATTAAAAGTATCTCCGGCCCTAATCTCTACTTTACAGTATCTCTATTTTTATTTTAAATATGAAATAGTAATTCATATCCGATATTATCTCTACATTACCACCAACTCTACTTTACTTACAATATTTAATTATTATTATGTTTATTTATTTAATTTCAATGTATTTTTATATATCTTACAATTTAATCTTCTTAAATTTATTATATTTAATTTTTATTTTATTGTATAGAAATTATAATAAAAAAACATAAAAGATAGAATAAGAGAAAATAATGTAATAAAGAAAAAGAAAATAACAAAAGAAAGTAAAAAATAACAAAAATAACAAATAAAAAAATAAAAATAAATAATATATAACGCAACTACAGTGCAACTTCAGATGTAGAGTATCACTGTAGTTTTTCTCTATTCTAGCATTGAAAGTTGAGATGGGCTGGAGTTGAAATTCATCTCTAAAGTAGAGATTTTCTCTACTCTAACGATGCGTCGGAGATTGTCGCTTTGAATGAAATTAGTGCTTCTTCGTTGCATGATACATGTATGAAAGAACTTAGTATTCTTATCTCCCTGAGTTATCCATTGATGTTTTGATTTTTGGAACCACAAACTCTCTTCTTGTTCCATTACCTTGTCTAGTTCGATCTACAATTCAGATTCTAACTGTATCAATCGTTCTGAATAATCTCTATGGAGGGCTCTATCTATTCCTCTCAATCGTGCTATCAGTTTCTTCTTTCGTGTGCCAATATGGCCAAATACAGATTTGTTCCATTCACTGACCTTTATCTTGAAGGATTCGATATTTTCAAGTGTACCTTGATCATCTTCCAGTAGGCTCGTATCAGCTCAGGGAATGCGAGATGATTCTGCCATGCAGCGAGGAAACTGAAGGGTTTCTCCTCATTGTTGCTATTCCCCTCAGCTTCATGGTATAATATGGGGCAATGATCCGACCTATGCGGTCTAGATGGGCCACAAGTGATAAAGGAGATGCATTGGCAAGTGCCTCGTTGAATAAGCACCGGTCTAATCGTTTCCACAATCCACCCCGTTTCCACGTAAAATCTGAACCTCGATAGTCAACTTCCATCAGTTCTACTTCTGCTATAAAGTAGTGGAATAGCTTGCTCGGTCCAATACCACGGGTTGAGCCACCATTCCGTTCTTCAAACCGTAACGTTGCATTAAAATTGCCACCCAGTAGCCATGCTTCATCTTTTCCTGGGTTGAGTGCGGTTAACATCTCCCAAACCTCCTTGCGTTTATTTGCATGGGGGCTTGCATAAATGGCTGTGAAAAAAGTCCATTTTGTCGCCTCAATCTCTCGAGCACGGCCATGTATGAATTGAGAGGATATGTTCAGTAGTATATCAACTACCATGGAATCTTCCCATAATATCCAAATACCCACACTAAAGCCTTTAGCTTCTATGAAGGAATTCGGATATCCAAATTTCGAAATCACCTTGTCCGCTTTGTCCCCGCTAATCCTTGTTTCGAGTAGTGCCACCATATTTGTTTATTCTTTCCACAAAACTCTCTCAAGTATCCTTTGAAAGAGGGGCTTCCTGCCTCTTGGCAATTCCAAAACAAGAATTTAAACATGGATGGTATTGATGACGGGAAGCGATACCTTTTATTGGCTCAACGAGATGGTTTACACCTCTTGCACCCTAACGTCAATCAAACCTTCTTGGCTTACAAGGTTATCATTCTAACCCGAATCTTTACTTTCTGTCACTTGGCCGGTCTCCTTTTGTTTGGTTTCTTGAGACAATGCTTCACCTCGTTCTTTTATCCTCACTGTACTATCCTTTCTTTGTCCGATGGGGTGAATCCAATCGGACAGAATAGGATGTGGAGGTGCTCGAAATTCTTTAGCATGCTTTATTTTTAATCCTTTTTGTGCCAAGATGTTTTCTGCCCTTGTTCCTCCCCTCTGGTTTTTGTTTCCATGCAAGATCCTCCCTCGTAGTGTTTCCCTTCCTTCTTCCAATATTGTCACAGCCGAGTGTTGTCCTTTTCCGGAGTTAAAACTATGGGTTTAAATGACTGTTTCCTTGGGGTTGTCGGTTTTATTGCCACTGGGGAGCTTGCGTCAGTTCTTATAATGCCCTTCCCTTTAACCTGGTTCGGGTTATCTATGCTCTTTGGTTCTTTGCTCTCTCCTTGCAACTGCCTTGGGTTTCCTTTGGGTTGCTTATTGGTTCGCTCTTTCATGTTTGCATTTGCTGTCGAGTTTGGTGGGAGTTCCATTGCCAATGAAGTTTCAATCTCAGATACCTTGTCCTTTTCAGTTGTTCCTAATGCTTCAAATCTAGAACATGTCCTATTCCCTTCCGGCCTTGAATCAGTACTGGGGGGTTGTTGTTCTTCGATTCTTTCTTTTCTTATTGTTGCCATTATCCATGGACCAAAGGTTGCATCTGTTTCGGTTGGTTTGTCTCGAATTTCCTGGTTCTCCATGGTTATTGATGTTTCAGACGTTTCAGGTGAGGGTGTAACACCACATCCTTCCGTTACATGGCCATATTTACCGCACTTGCAGCAAATCTGTTGCAGCCCTTCATACTCTCAAGTGTTGTAGAACCCCGTTAACGCGAATGCTTGGGATTAGCGGTTTATTTAGGTTAACCACTACGGCTAACCTTGCGAATTTTCCTCTTTCACCGAGTAATGTATTATAGTCAATTTTGATCACTCTCCCAATTACTGCCGCGATACGCTTGAACAAAGCTTCAAATAGTATCGATATGGGAGTTTTGGTATTCTTACCCAAACAATTACCTGAGATGGGAAGTTTTCGGCTGTAGAGAACGTTTGACTCCATGGTTGAACGGTGAGGTAACTATCATATCCAGGGTCCCTCCGTCAGGACACGAACATAATCAGCTTCTTTTTCAAACATTACCATGTAGTAGTCGTTGTCGACGTCTACTACCTGGAATTTTCCTAGCGGTTTCCACAGAACTTGGATTCTTGATAATAGGGCTCTATACCCTATTTTACGTCCCAGTAATCTAACTATAACCGACCTTCTCATACTATAGTGAATACGTGTTTGGACATCCTCAGCAAAATCCACCGTTGGAACCAATCCGCTTGTATCGACTATGACCTCCCCTTCACCTACCGTAACATCGTCAAGACACGGAGGAATTTCTTCAATCTGGATTGAACTTCCTGCTACCGCGTTAGCATAGGACATATTACACGGTGTTCTTTGCGTATTCCCAATTTGTTTGCTTACTCTTTCCACAGTTTGTTCGTTCCCTTCATTATCCAATCAGAATCTGTTTCTGAAATATTCTCGTGAGATGTCCTGTTTTCGTTGCCTGTTATCCTCGTTTTATTGTTGTTTTCTAAGGGTTCTATTACTTCCATGGTTTCAAGAATCTCTCCCGGTGTATCTTCTGTCATATGATCATTGTGTTCGGTGTCTGGGGGGTCCGCTGGTGGCAAGATAGAGGGAACCTCCGGTGGTCCAAGATTCTGCGTCTTCTCTTCGATGTTGCGAAGAACTTTTCTTGCGTTAGGGTTTTCTTGCGATAGTGCTGTTACGCTTCTTGACAATAGCGATAACCATAATAGCTGTCAATCCTAATCAAGAAAAGATACCTCAAAATTCTCATCTTTAATATAATATAAAATACCTAATCGCATAATACTTCTAAAATTCAGTAATATGATGCAACGACTAAACTACTCTATAAGCCTAGTGAATCTAGGCTTAATTTTCAGCCCGAGGGAATAATTCAGTATTTACCATTTGGGTCCGGGAGGCGTTGGACGTGAAAATGACGGCAGATACGCTGGTGCATTCATTTGAATGGAAAATGCCAAAGGGGGCAAAGCCTGATATAGAAGAGAAATTTGGAGTTGTTTTGAAGAAAAAGGCATCACTAGCCGTCATACCCTTTGCTCCATTATCGAATCCCAAGCATTACAAATACATGCTTATTTGATTTTATATTTGAATGCAATAGAAAGCTGCTCATTTCATGATATTTTAATCTCAAATAATGCATAAACAGAAAATGCAACCATAATCTTTCAAGTAAGAAAATCAAAAACAAAATCTGCGAAGGTAACATCCAATGAAAGAGTTCAAATCCAACAAAACTAGTAAAACTAGGTGAGGAACATTTAAGAATCTGCAATTGTGACCTCCACCTCGACACCAGGCTCGATGGTGATAGAAGTAATCTGCTTGACCACATCCGGTGAGCTGAAAAGGTCAATGACTCGCTTGTGAACACGAAGCTCAAATCGATCCCATGTATTTGTTCCTACAAAGAACGCAAATAGTCTAATCAATCATCCATACAAATTACTCGTGTTACATGAAAATCTAACCACACTTCATTTTATCAGGCTACATGTAAAACCACAACCATAACCTACACTGACAATCATATTCAAAGGTAAACCTGTGGGCATCCAACTAAAATAAAACAATTTAACATATAAACTCCATTTACGTAGGGAAAAAGAGAAGATATGCACCAAGTAAAAAAAACCCCATATGTTTAAAAATGCATAAAGGAAGAAAGCTACTCATGCACATAACGTCCTTTTAAATTTTAAAACATGCCTTCACAATAACAATCAAAGATTCTAATAAAGTAACATTCAAACCGTACAATGCAATGTAAAAACATACCTTCACCACAGGGAGATTTCCTCGTGGTAATGTGAAGAACCTTGGTGGGCATTCTTACTGGTCCCTTAACCCTCAATCTCTTATCCTTGGCACCACGAACCAAGTCAGCACAAACTACCAGTCAAACAGCAAAATGTTAGGCTCAATCTAATGCTAGTTGAATATCAATTGAATCCATACCATCAATCAAACAAAAAACACTATCTTTATCGAGAAACTTTGTATATGATATACCCCTATCTTTATCGAGAAACTTTGTATATGATGTACCCCTATCTTTATCGAGAAACTTTGTATATGATATACCAATATGGAAAAGCAAATTGAATAAACAAATAACAAAAGATCCCGAGGAAGTAATCACAATAAATGAATATAGTCTATTCTGCATACAAAATATTGTACCTTTCTCGAGGTTCTTCACATTCTTAGAGGAGAGAGTGATCCTAATCTTGTGAATCTGCTCCTGGGATTCCTCCAAACCAGGCTTGGTCGGCTTCATTGCAGCATATGCCATGATTCTTGACCTTTTGTTTCTGTTCAGAATAATTATATTCCAAATAAATAAATAATCACATCAAAAAGTTAATCGCAAAGTTCAAAATCACAAAATCATAGGAATGAATCCCACATGGAATGCAACAACGAAGTTCAAAATTACAAGAGTAATTCAAAACTTTCACATATTCCTTACATAGCTCAAAACCCATTATTATCTTTAAAAAGTTAAGAAATAAACTCAAATGGAACAGACTGCTCCTCCTTTTCAGATGAAATAAATAAATAAAAAAACTCCAGCAAGTGCACATATTGCAAAAAATGGAAAAGGTTTCAATCCAGAATATTATGGGATATTACTATTCCGATTAAAGATAAAGCCTTAAAAAATCCAAGAATAAAGACCTAAGGACCTACTCTAATCCAAACTTTTTAACACGTAAAAAGAAAATACCATGAAAATGGAGGGAAATCGAGAGAGAAACCTGAAGGCGTGAGAGAAAGAGAGTGCCGCTGCTGCCTCTTTACTGAAAGAATGATGGAAAAACAGAGGGAAGGCTTTGTAGAAGATATATATGTGACGTGACGAGCCTAGAGTTAGGGTTTTTTGGTTGACTAACTGCTCTGATCATTTTAAATTTTACGGCCCAACTATCACTAACTAGGCTCCATGTGTAAGCCCACTAAAAATGCTGGATTGATTCCTTAAAAAAATACTCCTATAAATCGCCATTACTCACTAAATTTTTAAATTTAAAATATTTTAATTTTAGCCTATGTTTCAATTTAGTTATTGGGTCGTTAAATCATTATTGGCGTGACGATGTGGTTGTCAGTTTCTTCGACCGTCATTGCCATCGTCAAGTAATCATTATCTATTACTTATTATTATTTTTGACAAAATTAATATCAAATTATTCGTATTTCATTATTTTTTTTCATTCATTAAACCCATTGAAAATCAATCTAATTTTTTTTTTATGTTTTTATCTCTATTGATGGCTGTTTGATAAGAATAATTTTAAGGTTTGTTGTTTATGTTTTGGAAAGAAAGCTCTTAATGTTTGAATTTTTGAATAAATTTCTCAAACCCCTCAAATTTAAGAAAGTTTCAAAAACCTTAAATTAATTAGTTGTCACACTCCAAATTAGGGCATAAAATTTTCTCAAAATTTATTCCGATGACTAAATTGAAATTTTAATTAAATTCAGGGATCATAGTGAAATTTGGATTAAATTTGGAGAATCATAAACTTTCCATCTATGGAGAGTTTAAACCCTTCCCCTCTCCCTCTTCAACCTTTTCTCTTTTAGTAGGAAATTTTTAATTGACATTTCGTTGTCAACCGTTGTTTCGTTTTTACACCTCCTATCATCATGTTCTTTGCGTCGTCCCGAGTCCATCAGTGTCCATCTTGTCTCTGTTGCCACCGGCGTGTGAGTGGGTGAGGAAGATCAAGTTTTTGACGTTGTGAAGTCGAGCTCTCTGTCGTTCACTGCTTGAACAAAGCTTGGTAAGTGTCTCAAAACCCCTTAAAATGCATATAGGAATTTTTTTGACCCTCAAATGCCCCGCATGCTCCCCCACACGTGGTCGATGCATGTGGGGAAGGTCCACCACCAGGTGGACTTCTAGAAATGGGTTGACCCGTATGTCTAACCCGATCTGAACCAGTTAACCATTGACCGTTGATTGCAATTGACTTTTTCAGGAATCCTCTTTCTCGACATTTTTCGACGTCTTGAATCCGATTTTGCGATTTGTTTTTTCTAAATTATGATCTGAAACCCCGAATCGAGCCCATATTTGCTTATTTAGTTGATGTTTGAATATGGAATTAATTCGGGAATATATTTTAATGAAGGTGCTCGTGTTTCTCCTGACCGAGGGTCGATTAGATTCGGTGCTTCCTGTCCGTCAAATCCACTCGATTCACATTCTTCGAGAGTTACTTGTAGGTTCCTATAAATTGTTTAAATATATATTATTATTGTTCATATTAGGAATTTGATATAAATTTTTCGATTCTTATAATCTATCGCTGCCGCTAATTGTGATCAACAGACTCGATAGTAGACTTCCTTATTTGAATTGTTTTAGATTTCCTGATGGTGTTACATTTCTGTTTTAAACTATTTATCTCAATTGTTTTAGATTTCCAATGATACTGAATATTTTTACGACACTATACCTGATTTTTTGAATATTGTTTATCTGATATCTGAATTAGAGTATATTTCTTATATGATCTCTGGTTATTGTATTTTTGTATTTGATTTATGAGTATGGAATATTTTCATGTTTTAATTGATTAAACTACCGTTTTCACTTGAATACATACATGTTTATTATTGTTATTGGGGGTATTATTAGAGAAAGTATATCAGGTATAGTCTATGACTTGTAAGACCTTATCGCAGTCTCCTCCGCTTTATGCACAAAGTAAGTCCTTACTGCAAGTCCTTATGCTATATGTATAAGACCCTTACCGGGTGTACATGTAGGTGTATAGTTATGTGGAACTTACACATTCTGATGATCGGACGAGGATAATGCTCATATTTTTAAAGCATGTTTGATCAACTTTTTTTTACTGAAGTATTTTATCTGTATGCTTTTATACATCATAAGGAGCACACTAAGTATTTTTAACTCATTATGTAAATTTTAACATTTTCATATAGTAGCATACTATAGACTAGCAGACTTGTCATCAGGAGGATCGACTACTCCTATTTTTGTACCACAATATATTTTCAGATGCCTTTTTGTTATATTTTGCTAACATATGTTTTTGCTACTGTCTTGATATATCTGTATTACCGATATTTTGTTCTGTATATGTTTTATACGGTTTTTTTGATATATATATATATATATCATGGCTAATTTCATATGATAATGTTATTTGGATTTTTAACGTTGTTTTAAATATGAAAAGAATTTCTGAATACGATATGTAACCGCCTAGATTTAGTCATAACGTCCAGGCTGGGTTTAGGGGTTATGTTACATTAGTATATAAAGTGATTTGAAAAAACGTTTTATAATGATAATTAAAGAAAACTATAATTTTAATAAAGAATAAGATAAAATAAAATAATAAAAATATTATTATTTCTGAAGTAACATACAACTACACTAAACAATCATATGTCGTTTCCAATATAATAGAAATAGTTTGATGTTCTAACTGATTCATGAATAAAAACATTTTAAAAATTAATTCTACAATATTCAAGACATCAATCAATACATGAACCATGCGTGACAAAATAATGAGGAACGTCATATCCTGTACGTCCATTTGGAAAATCTGCACACGCACTAATTGATTGTTGTTTACTAACTTTCATATATGAACAAAAAGCTTCTACTAACCAAAAGTAAAATTAAAGAAAAAAAATGTCCATCCCTTTCCTGTAAATCACTGTTGGGGATAATTTTAATTATTTATTGCTTAATATACAAGAAAAACATCAATATTTTTACCAATTTTAATATAGTAAAATAATTTTGTAGGTAATATTGTAAAATAATTTAAAATTAAAGTTTAGTTTAGTTTTTTTAAAAATCCCAACAAACTCTAGGGACGGTCTTTCAAAATATTGAAAAGGATATTAAGAAAAACACTGTAAAACATTGAACAAGGATCTAAATAGATAAAGACATGATTTTTTTCAAGACAAAGACAGAATAAATTAGGAAGAAAGTTGGAGTTTTTGGGTTGTCCAAGATCATTTGGAATTCTTGACGAACACGTTTGAGCGTCTCAATCACTGGGTTTTTATTTATCAACATTCTTGCATTGAGATGCGAATAAAGTGTTGTATAGAATGTTATCAAAGAGTTTTAAGCAATTTTTCCTCGTTTTCATGTTGATCCATATATAAGCTTAAAACGAAAAGATCCATCCCACCACCTACCTGCTTCCTTCTCTGTCCGTGATTTAAACACTCTCTACGTGCACCAAACGGAAATAGCTGATTTATGCGAGGGTATTTACGGAACTGGAGGTGGTGGTTCTTACATGGGACAGGTTTTGGAGGGTAGGGATGGAGCCACGTATAACATGAATGGGATCAGACGGAGGTACTTGGTTCAGTGGGTTTGGAACCATATTGTGAGTTATTGTACCGGGCCTAATGCTCTTGATCAGTACTTTTTTTGTTTAACATGTAATTATTGTAACGTGATCACAATTATTAAACATATTCATTTAGCTCTTAGATTCGAATATTAGCAAGTATTAATAATCCAAGAGTTTACACCTAAAATCTAACTCATAACCTCTATTGACAAGAGACTATACTAAAAATCGAATAAATTGCAAAAGTACATATTGTTTTAATAAGTCATAAAACTTATTTGAAAATGAATTTTATTCACTTAAGTTGTAATGTAAAAGAAAGTAATAAAAAAGCCATGTGAGCAGCCACTTCTCCTGAATTTCAGCTGCCTACAAAATCACCCACCGTGTCGTCTAAGAAACTTTATTTGTGCCGTGAGGACTATGATGCTGTACATTTCCTTTTTTGACGGGTCTCGTTCATTTGATTTTTTGTCTAAATTGTTTTTTAATATATATACTAATTTAAATTTCCAATTATAAAATATATACTAAATTGTTCATTTAATGACCATCGAGTAGAAATGTCATCCATAGCTCGGATACAGATATATAATCAACCAGCTGAGCAGACCTAATAACCGAGAAAAGAATAAATGGATTAGAAATTAAAAGTGAGCCTAAAGTCAAGCCATAACCATATATTCAAATTGTTTATTAGTTATATAAAGCTCACCAAAGTTATTGAATCTCAAAGCTACCAAAGAAGTGACGAGACTTTGAATAAAAATATATATATATTGAAGTTATCCGTGAAGCAATTTGGAGAGACTCCTTACCTCTCAATGGCGTCGTCGACGAAGCGTTGGAAACCTTTAGGGGACTTCAAGTGATTAAAACCGAAAAGTCCGGTGGGGAACGCGTTTTGTCTATCAACGGCGCGGGTTTAAAAATGGCGGTAAAGAAGGAGTGGTTCAAGTAGAGGCTTCATATGGATATTCGGATCGCGCTTCCTGATAAAGTTCCACATTTCTGCGCTCGTAATAGCGGCTCCGGTCACCTCAACTTGTAGAAGGCCTAGCAACGAGCGCTTTGTGCTGGAAATGGACCGGGCAGCGGTTGGATCCTGCAGGTGCTTTCACAAAAGAAAACTGGAAAATGTTCTTGGGCTTTGAGTTAAGACAAATATCAACAAATGACTCAAGATAGGTCCATGCCCGGTTCAGATTGTAGTTTATATTTTGGTAAATTATTATTTTTATTTAAATTTGATTATAAATTAATATTTTTTGCTTATAGTGGGTACTTATTTTTTAAAAAATAAAATTATAATATCACCCTCAATTAAAAATAATAATATTAATTCAATTAAAATAATTAAATATTACTATTAAATATATTATCAATGATTTTTTTATAAATAAAATTAAAAAGATGATACTTGATAATAAACTTTTTATAATAAGTTTAAAATCAATTGTCACTTATGTATTTTCTTCGAATTTTTTTTATATTTAAAAAAATATTTATTTGACACATATTTAAAATATTTGAATATATATATATATATATATATATATATTTAAAAAAGTTTGTTTGAAGTTAGAGTTTGCAAAGCTTAAAATTTGAATGTTTGATTTGAGCCAGACTCACAACCTTTGACAAGCCTCCAGCGAGTCAACAACCCTAGCCTGGCTTGGGCTCAATAAACCGAACCTTTAAGCTTCAGCAACTGTTACTAACCTTGAGCCAGCCAGCCACATCCACATTTTCTTTTCCATATTCTTTTTTAATAAAGGGTTCATCACCCACCAGCCCAGCCACATCCGCGTCGCAGACTCAACTCGCTCCACGGCTTTTTTTCATTTAGCCACTGTTTTAATTCTTCTTTTATTTATTTTCTCTCCGTCTTTGGTTTCATCGGCTTAGATCCAGCTTAGATCTACGCCGATCTCTTTTCTTTCCCTCCAATTTCTTCCTTCTTTTTCTCTTTCCCTTCGACTCATCTTCTTTTACTTCTTTCACCTCCAATTTCTGCAAATTTCAAAGCTTAGATGAACTAAGTGAAGAACAATAACCCAGATTCATTGTGATAAAGGTTACTTTCTAACTCAAATCTCTTCTTCTTTTTTCTTTCGAAACAAACAAACAAAAACCCATTCTTTTAAACCGCCTCTAATATAATTTACTTTTGTTTTCGGGGTTTTAGTTTTAGGTTTGGGTATCAAATTAAGCTGAATTTCAGCTGGTCTTAGCACTGTATACGACTTTTGGGGTAAGCTTTATTTTCTTGAACTTGAAGCGTTTTGTGTTAGCTGCTGTGCCTGCACTTATTTAAGTTTGTTTGAGAATTGCATTTTTCTTGTAGGATAGAGCTGGAAGCAAAATGGAGTGGAGTGTAAATAATGCCTTCAAGAGTTACAAAGGTATCTACTAAAGTAATTTAGCTGGACATATATTGATTTCCGGTGATCAAACATTAATATAAGATATATTTGTCTAATTCACATCGATGTCGATGGTTTTTGGGTGTGCCATCCATTCAAGCTCCATGATAATCATGCATTGAACCTTACCAACGGATTATAAATTTACTCTTATTTTGTTTGGAGTTTACAGTGAGGTTTCCTGGGATTTTTTGAGTGATGGGATACTGTTGAGTTACACCTTTTATTGCTACGTTGCTCGAACTCTGACCTTAGTGTCAGATATAGTTGTGTTCAACACAGACCTGTTCTTTTCCCTTTTAAGTTTTCCCCATACATTCGGAAACCCTGGTGGGTCATAACCTCCTATCGATGTCTAGAAATGTACCAGACATGTGTTATGCGTTTTGAGGTTGCAGTTTGGTTTTGCTGGATAATTAGAAATGAGATACTGTTGTGTTATGCGTTTTACAGCTATATTACTTGGACGTACTAGATATGGGTGCTTTATAACTGGCCTTTGAACTAGAACTAGAACTAGAACTATGCAGAGAAGAGAATTTTCTTTGTATTACTGTGCAAGAGACTTTCTGATACATAAGGCGAGGGAAATGGAATATCCGAATTATTGAAATGGATAAAAACTTGATCTCCACTATTGTGCTTTTGGGCTGGATATGTTTGATTTATTTTTTAAATTTCAAAACTTTGAATTTTGTTATCGGTTTATTTCACTTTGGAATCATGATTTCAAACTTAAGCACAGCTTCCTGTACGAGTCTATTATATTTTTAATTGTTGCTTTTTGTAGCAGATATGGAACCGAAACCCACAATGGATATGGTGCTCATTCCTAGTATGGATCCGATAGATATTGTACTTGGTTCTTCAGAGAAGGGAAATGTTATACCTTCGGCAAAACCCAGGAAGAAGACAATGACATCGGTTTACCTTAGGTATTTTGAGACGGCCCCTGACGGGAAAACTAGGAGGTGTAAGTTTTGTGGACAGAGCTATTCTATTGCAACTGCAACAGGTAAGCCCTGTGGGCTTGTTTCCGTTTGCCCTTTACCTTTTTGTGCTTCATTTAAAATGATCCATAGGCACTTTATTATCCAGTATCTTTCAGTTTTCTTATTGCCATGTTTTAGCCTATGATCATGACACTCACTATATTCTTATTTCATCCATCTGATTATCCACCTTCACTGTGAAGGCAATTTAGGGAGACACCTTAATAATCGGCATCCCGGATATGATAAGACGGGCGAGAATGTCACTAGCTCAGCACCACAGCCCACCACAGCTGCCGCCACTGTCACGATGAAACCTCAACCACAAGCAAGAGCACCTCAGGTTGACTATGATCATCTGAACTGGTTGCTTATTAAATGGCTTGCTTTAGCTACTCTTCCTCCTTCGACTTTAGAGGAAAAGTGGTTAGCGAACTCCTTTAAGTTTTTGAACCCATCAATACAACTATGGCCAGGTGACAAGTACAAAGCAGTATTGCTTGAAGTTTTCAGGAGCATGAGAGAAGATGTTAGAGCAACTTTGGAACAGGTCTCTTCCAAGGTCTCGATCGCTCTTGATTTTTGGACTTCGTATGAGCAAATATTTTATATGAGTGTCGCATGTCAATGGATTGACGAAAACTGGTCTTTCCAAAAGGTGCTTCTTGATGTATGCCAGGTATCTTACCCGTGTACGGGTTCTGACATATATCACTCGCTGATAAAGGTTCTTAAGATGTACAATATAGAGAATAAAGTCCTCGCATGCACCCATGACAACAGTCAAAATGCCAACCACGCTTGCCATACCTTAAAGGAGGACTTGGATGGTCAGAAAATGGGGCCGTTCTGTTTTATCCCTTGTGCTGCTCGTACGTTGAGTTTGATTATAGATGACGCATTAAGAACAACAAAACCAGTTATTGCCAAGGTCAGGGAATTTGTACAAGAGTTAAATGCATCCTTGGATATGTCAGAGGATTTCATTCAATTTACAACAGCTTACAAAGAAGGAAGTTGGCAGTTTCCGCTTGATGCTTCAGCAAGGTGGAGTGGCAGTTACCAAATGCTTGATCTTGTACAGAAGGTACTTTTTTTTCTTTTCGTATAAGAACTTTTAATCCAATTCAAGACATTCGGAATCCATTTCTTCCAATTCAGGTATGGGGTTTGGTGACTAATGATAAAATTCGATCTCGATATTTTAAATATTGAAGCAGGCTGGGAGGTCGATGGATGCTGTTGTAAGGAAGAATGAGGAGGTGCTGGACAATAGGATGTTGCTGAATGCTGCCGAGAAGAATGTTGTCAATATTGTTCACAATTGCTTGGAGCCCTTGTACAAAGTCGTTAATGAGATATGTGTAGACACCCCTCCAACTATTGGGATGGTTATTGTCTACATGGATCACATTTCTGATACAATTCCAACACGGCAACTTCCGGATTGGCTAAAGAATGCTGCCGAAGACATGGCAAAAAAGCTCAGAAGTTATAACAACCAAGTCTGCAACATTTTCATCTACTTGACAGCCATTCTTGATCCCCGAGTTAAATGTGAACTCATACCCGAGAATCTCAACTCAGAAAACTATCTAGAGGAAGCAAGAGCCCATTTTGTGAGGAATTATTGCACCAATCATATTTCATCTACGAGAAGTGGATACTCTACTCAAGATATTGAAGATGGAGGAAGTGTTTCTTTTGCAGAGGAAATCGCTCGAAAGAAACGAAGAGCAAGCATGAGCAATGCCACCGATGAACTCACTCAGTATCTTTCCGAGTCTCCAGCTCCTACAAAGATAGATGTTTTGGAGTGGTGGAAGGTCAACAGCATGCGTTACCCTCAGCTCTCTGTGATGGCTAGAGACTTCTTGGCTGTCCAAGCAACTTCAGTGAAACCCAAGGAACTGTTTTACAGTAAAGGCGATGAGATCGGGAAGCAACGGTTTTGTATGCCACATGATAGCACACAAGCCATCCTTTGTATTAAATCATGGACTCAGGGAGGTCTCAAGTTGAAGTACAAGTCAACTGAGATCGATTGCGAGAGACTGATGGAAATGGCAGCAGCAGCAGCTGTTGATATTAGCTCAACTGGTATCTACAAGAAACAAAAGTGAACCGAGTTTTCGTTATATTTCCTTGTTATTGTTGTATGTATGATATGAAGATTATGTATTTTTGTACAATTCACAATGTGAGAATGCTAACCTGAGAAAAAAGACTCATGTGTAGTGTTTATCATCAGCCTTCTATGTTGGTAGTATGATGGTAAAACCATCTGAATTTGAGGGTCCAGATTTGATTCGATAAAAGTGACTATTTTTTAGATCAAAATGAACGTTGGAAAAATAGATCTGGAGTTGGACAGTTGGAATTTATGATGAAAAAATCTTCAATTCGGATATACAGTGGAACCCCGGAAATTCGAACTCCATGTCCCTGTGTTTCCCTTGCATGCCATAGACATACTTCTCGACACTTGTCATTCAAATATCAAAAGCCCTAGTCTTTCTCCTACTCATTCTCTATCACTTTTAACCATCTCTCTCTCTCATCTTCCCCGCCTCCCACTTTCCCAAAACCATGGCGGACCGCAACGCAACCCACCACCAGCACCAGCAAACCTCGAGAACTAACCGCCCCGCCGCCCCTGCCTCCACATTCCTACATAAAATCCACTCCCACGCACCAAACACCACTCAACTCCTCGGTTTCTTGCTCCTCTTCTTCGTCTCGGCCTCGATCCTCTTAATCCTCACCGCCACTGTTTTCGGGTTCATCTTTTTTATGCCATTTGTAATCGTTTCAAGCCCCATTTGGTTCCTGCTCTTCCTCACGGTCGCCGGGTTCTTGTCGGCGTGCGGTTCGGAGTCGCTGTGGTGGCCGGGACGACTTGGATGTACCGGTACTTTAGGGGCATGCACCCGCCTGGGTGGGATCGGGTTGATTCAGCTCGGACAAAAATTTATGATACGGCTAGCCATGTTAAGGATAATGCTAGGGAATATGGTGGATTCTTGCAAAGCAACGTCAAGGATGCTGCTCCTGGTGCTTGAGCAATGTTGATTTTGTTTTTGTTGTTAATTGAAACTTCTGATACAATAGACCCGATGTCTTGATTTGTAAGATCCAAGAAGATATGTACTTTAGTTTTGTGCAACTCCATAACTTTGTACAAACCAACAATGGGAAACTAGAGCCAAAATTAACTCTTGCGTTTTCTATGGGATTTTGGCCATAAGACCCAATATATTACCTTCTAATACATGATTTATGTATTAAAAACTAACAGTTTGGCAGGTAACCAAATGAAGCATAAGTAACACCCACCTATAGGAGCACATTAGGACTAACACAAAACAATACTTAGCATTAACAAAAACATTTAATTTGGGCTGAGGTAAGCAGGCATGGGACTGGCACGTGGGGAACGAAAAGGCAACTCCTCCACTTGATTCCCTTTGCTATCGTAATAAATCACACCTGAAAAATCCAATGGCCGACATTTGTCTCCCATCAGGATCGCTCTCTGCCATACTCCACCGTCACCGATATCCTCCTCCGCTACTGCCTTGTCGTGCCTCTTGCGGTGCACAAACTTCACCGCCTTGTTGCTCAGCGTCGTCAAGAGCCTCGGGGATTCTAGAGGAGATTTCGGCGACGCAAAGAATCTCGGAGAATCGGAACGTAAGCCGAATTGATCTTTAGGCTTTGACCTCAGCTTTTTTGGGAATTCGGCTGGCGTGCTTGGCGCATAGAGCCATGAATGAAACAACGAAGGCGAGAGTTAACCGTTGCTATGGTGTGGTAGAGCCGTGTTCCGGTGAATCCATGATCCTCTCTTTTTCTCTTTATAAAGAAAAGTTGGCGGGTTCAGAGGGGTTTTGAATATATATAGGGAGGCGTAGGAGGTAGTGAAAATTATTTTAGTCTCGTAGGTGGAGGGGACAGTTGGGAATGATTTTATTGAGGTGGACGTAGATCTACTAGTTAGTGTACACGTAGAACTATCAAATACATTAAAATCTTAGATTGATACGACGGGCATTGAATGTGTTTGAAAATATCAACTCATCCATGCTTGGTTGGGATCTAAGTTTAGGTCAATTTACATTTCGTTTTAGATTCATGTTGATTGTGATTAATAACCATTCATCTATGCTAATGTAGATCACGACTTGTCATATTAATAACCATTTACTTCTTTTGATGTATATAAAAAAATTACTTCTCTTACCAATTACATAAATTTCAGGTTGAAACATGTAACATTTTAGGTTATAGCTTAAAATAAAACATCAAGTATTGTCGATACTCATTTTTGTGGAAAAATTGATACCTTTAAAAAGGTATAATAAAATATTATTATTATTAAATTGAATAAAAGTATAATAAATACATAATTAAAAATAAATAATAAATTATTTACTTATATGTAGACATAGAATGAAACGAGCGGATTCATTAAGACATGTTTACACAATTTTTTATGACAAATAACCGTCCTTACGATGTTGGAAAAACATTAATAGATTGTCTCCCAAGATACAACAATAAGATAAAGATTACATTAACATAACTACAATGATCAACGAATTGTAATATAGCCCTTTTCATCAACAAAAACGTTTGAAAGTAGAGAAAATATTATTTGAATATGTGTCTAACTATTAAAAAGTTTGAATAATGAAGCAACTAATATCCGATAATCAAAGGTCCATTAATGCATAACATTCTCATCTTATTTAAGGCACGAAAAACATTATTGTATTAGTGTAATATTCGTATACACTTGAAGGCCCAATTAGTCCAAATATTTCACATCCACGTCATGCAAGTGCACCCACACAACTCTGTCAGGAGTAGATTTGCACCAATTTATACCTACATGCAAGGCAAGATCTTATATTAATAGGTGTTTGTAATCACTTCAGATACATTGTGTTTGAACTATGATAAAATTAATTATTATCATATTTTATTATTATATTAATATTGATGATACTTATTTTCACTATCAACAACAATGTAATTTTGTATATCTTATATATTTTTTTTGAATTTCTTATATAATTACTTATATTTTCATTATTCAGTTTTTTTTAGATAATTCAGATTTTTTATTATCCAAATTAGCAAATTTTTGCTACAAACCAATCAACCAATCAGAACATAAAATTAACAGTGCACAACCTAAACAAAACAATGATTGGTACAAAAACTATAAGCCCCAAGCATTATACAAGGAAATATTAGTGCTATCAATCCTATTGATATTTTTTCCCTTGAGACTTAATCAGACAACCTCATAAATTTCAGTAAAAAGTTGTTCAGCAGATCTAGACCGAGCTTGAAAAATTCTTTGGTTTCTTTCCTTCCATATAGAATAGATGAAATCAGACTAAGCAATCTTCAAAATAGAGGTAATGAGAGACTTCCCTTTCCATGAAGTGATTGCTCTATAAACCATGTCATTCCATGTCAAATGTGATGCGTTCATTCCATTCACATTCAAAATAATATTCTATAAGCGATCTGCTAATGAACAGTCTACGAAAAGGTGGTTTCGAGTCTCAGGATAATTAACAAATCAATAACATGGACGAGTCTCTATTTGACAAAAACTTAAAGTATTAGTAGATAATATTTAATTATAAAATCATATACATATTGACATAAAATAATTTTAATTTTTGTATTCTTTAATAAATATTAACATAAAATAATTTTATTTTTTTATTCTTTAACTATCATTCCGATCGAAATGGCAATTAATTACAAACTACTAATATTTATAGATCTCTCCCAAAGTCAACTATTTGTAGTAAAGTATTTTCAGAGCTCCTATTGTAACTAATCTTAATTAAACAATATGCAGAATTATTATGGGCAAAGTTGCTAAAATTACGCTTCCCGTGATGTGCCGTGCCGTCACCGCTACTCTTCTTCCTCCGGTTATTTCTCAACAGCACGGAATAAAGTGTTACAAGAAACAATATATTATTTTCATGCTAATCCTCGAACTAAAACTGTAACAATACGCATGAATATCCCAAATTTAAAATAATAAAATAAATAAATGAGAGATCCCAGTACTATATCTGAATTATGATCATTTCAAAGAATTTTGAACAGTCAACAAATAAATTTCATTACGTGAGAGGAAAATAAATAAGAAAGAAGGGAAACCTCAATGGTGCAAGGGATTTGGACCGGTAGGAACAAGGCGTTTTCCCACACCGTAACGAGGATCGATCTCGTTACCGGAAGGTTTGGGATGGCGATGATGATGATGTAGGAATGGAGCGAAATCGAATTTGGTAGCCAAGATTTTCCTGTTGGTGCTCAAAGTGTGGCTTCTATTATTAACGTCGTCGAACGAGTTGCAATTGAGAAAGAAAAAAGGCAAGAAAGAGAGAGAAAGAATGGTAGTGAAATTAAAGATGTAGTTGGCTGAGCGCCATTGGTCATGGTTGCATGTGGTGGGCAGAGATGGGGTTTTAGAGACATTGGGTTGCTTCAATGCTACTTTATTGGAGAGGAAATGGCAGATGCATTTTGCTTCTACCAATCAAACTTCCTTTGCATTTTATTAATTAATCTATTAGGGATGTTTTATCCACTAACACGTTACGCGGCTCTGGCTCTGCATATATATGTTTAACACATGACTCCATTTTGTTAATTATAAAGTCAGCTTATTTTCACAGAAAATTTCTCCAAATGTTTTACTCAAACTTTAAGCTGTTGGAAAGTTGTCTTTGTATCAGCCGACCCCTTTGCCATAGCATATGTATTTAGTTGACTTTGTTTTATATCAATAGAAGGAATCAAGATGAACGTGAGGGACTTATTATTATTATTATTATTATTATTATTATTATTATTATTATTATGTTGGATAGTAATGTATTGTAATAGGACACTCTATGTAAAAACATCTTGACAACTTATATCTAGTTTAGATATAATTTATAGAATTTTATTCATCTGTTACTAATGAATTGATTAGTAGATATAGATTGATTTCGTTTTTTTATAATTAAATTGTTGGATCTCAAAAATTATAAATTATAAATTTTACAAATATAATCATAATTAAATAAAAAAAATTAATTATAAAATAATTTGATGAATT